GCCTCGAAGACCGGGTCCTCTTCGTCAAACTCGAAGGTCTCCTCCGGATCATAGGCCTCCTCACCATAGTACACCGAGTTGAGGTCTTCTTCAAATCCTCCAAGAGATTGAGAGGCGTTGTCATAGCCAGCCCAATCTTCTGCAGAGCCTCCATCAACATGGTAGCCCTGCCAGGGCTTGTGCCGTTGTGGGAAGCGTCCACCCTTTCCTCGTGCTCGGTGGTCTTGGAATCCATGGTGTCCTCGATGGAGTTCATGCTCGTGGATGGTTCCATGCTGGGCGATGAGCTCGTCCATGACTCTGGCGACCGTGACATCGCCTTGCAAAGCTGTCCTGATCATCAGTTGATGATCTTGGCTGATCCGGGCGCTAGCCAGGATCTGCTCCGCCAGGATGGGGTCAGGCAGCTGCAGCTTGTCATCGAGGTCGATGAGCATGGAGTACCAGGTCCTCCGACGAAGGAGGAAGCTCGTCATCGTCTCGCCTGCTTGGCGAGCCAGCATCCCAGTGGTCTGGGCTCCTGCATTGTACAGCTCTCTTGCATCCTGTTGTCGTCGAGGGCGGAAGGCCTTGTAGAGCGTGTCCACCAGCAGCCTATGGCCATCTGGCTTGGCCAATTTTGCAGGATCAAGCTCCCTTGCCACCTGAAGAGCTTGACCACGTAGTCCATCAATCAATAACAAGCCAAGAGGGCCTTTCTTCTTGGCTTCAGCCTCGTCGAGGTGCTGGAACCGGGTGTGAAGCAGCTTCACCCGGAAGCTGTACTCAGCCAATTTGGATGGCTCTCCATCGTACCTAGGCACCATGCCTTTTCCTTCCGTGGACATGAGGTCTTGGTCATCTTGTTCATGTCCAGGGCGCCAACGAAGGGCCTCCAGCGCAGCCATCACGCCGGAGCAAAGGGACAGGGGTGGTCACCGCGAACAGGAGCGTCCCTTGGCTCCAGCGGCCCTATCGGAGAACAAAGCTCCGCTGCCAATGTGAAAGCAGCCAAAGCGACGCGTCGTGCGCCGCACAGTAGCGAGTCGCTCCTTTTGCGAGCGCTTGAGCCATGTGAGCAAGGTCGTGCTCAGTTCATGAACCCTCATGGATTTGGACACCAACTGGATGCAATCGTGATTCAACAGTTGTTTTCTCAATAGTGATCACGATGGTGATGAGATGATGGAAATGTATAACCAAGTTAAGGAGCTCACATTCCAAACATCCCGACAGTTCCAGTGCCGGTTGCTGCTTAGACCACTGGCTTGATAGTGTGCTGCAAAATCTCGCTGCGTTGGGGCAGATTCTCAACTTCGAATTATTCTGGCAGGTTTCCCTATTCAGGTGTCTCCTTTCCCCATGTTGGAAATTCACCCCGTTACGGGGTACATACAGGGTTTTCAAATGACACACACCCCAAAATCTCTTGTAGATGGGGGTCCATTCTGGCATAGTCTGATTTCAAGGAAGCCGCAGAATCCTTAGTAATTACAACATCTGCTCTCCAGAAGCAAAAGGTGCCCAGGCACAGGGGCACACAGGCACGTCTTCTGAGGCCTTGGGGGACCTTACTCCAAAATCACATCCATGGAGGGGTTGTGTTGGCTGCAGGTTTGGATTTCCGATGACAAAAGCGAGAGACTTATAGCAGTGCGAGAGCGACGACAATGACTTGAGATTGAATATGACGGAAGCCACATGCAAAACTTTGTTTGATAATGTTTGATAAATTCAGAATGTACTAATAAACCCTTTTGACATCAGTTTCACAAACATCAACTCGCAAAGTGTTGCCAGCAGTTGTCAAAAAGGAGCACACACTCAAAGTTCTGATCCTTTTTCGAAGGCCTTCAAGTCTTAAGTCGGCTCTTAAGCCATGAGTAGATATTCCACTCGCCGGCATAATCTGGTCTTTCTCCGTGCCTAGAGGTCAAGTCTCTAAACTTGACCAAACACGGTATCTCTGGGTCCCAGCAAGAATGGCACATCAAATTTCGAAACGGCTGCAGCGTTCTATTCAAACCGATTTTGTTGCTACAGCAAGGGAGCACCGCAATTTGCAAAGTGATTGCATGGTTTGCACCTCCGCAGGCTGTGCACGCAGCCATCACGGCCGGATGGTACTAAGGAGGCATCGGCGGCGTCAAGATGTACCCATGGTGGCCACGTGGGTTGGCCTCCTCCATTTTTGCATCGGACTGTGAATGTCAACTGGCTTCCAAACACGCGAGATGGGTCATGTCTCCAGGCCACAATCCCGTGTACAAGATAACTCGGCAACAAGCGCATTGCTCTGAAAATGAGTGCCAGCAAAATGTGACTTCTGGGCAACGGTATCTGAAGAAAGTCTTTTCGAGACAAGTGTGGAGATTCGACACGCAGGGAAATATGCTTGCATACTCGCAATTGCACATGTAGAGATGTGTTCCTCACATCTTTCATCGCAAAGGTGAATGAGGTGCTGCCGGAACAGCTAGCAGCAGGTGCACACAGTACAAAGAAATCAGCAGTGCAAGTCTGCTTATTGTCTGCCTTCAGCAAGTGCAGGCCTGATTCAAGGAATGACCTTCATCTGCTCGGCTTGAAAACCTGTTGCATCACGAACCGATTCCCTTTCTTGCGCTCTCAAGCACGCAAAAATAGCAAATCCGCAAATGGGGCGCGACATGTGTCTGTGTAAACCTACAACATCCTATAAAGATCGATGAAGATGAAGATGGTTGACCTTGTACATTGCAGTGCAAGTGCAAGGTCCTAGGTTGGGTAGAGAATGTAAACATCATCCTGCTCGAGCATTTTTGACACAGGTATGTTGGACTTGACGATATAACACGAATTGATCGAAAGTCTGCTGTGGCAAAGTTCTGCATTTTCGGCATCTCTGAAGGTACCCTTGAAGATCCTCACTACAGGAATGTTAGGCTTAACCATTGGCAATGTGATTTTTTCTCAAACTGCTTGAACAAAGATCTGTGAAGTTTTCACCCGTGAAGGCACCCGTGGAAATCTTCAGCACTGGCTAGTAGAGACCAAGTAGATTGGCCGGCAGCCACGCAATCTGCGACTCCTCATGCATAATCTATGAGGTACCCAAGAGAAATGTAAGTAGCGTTGCTCTTGCCTGAATTCGCCTGACACCACAATCAGCTGCCGACTTGGCCTTGCTCAGGACCCATTTCAGGCATTTTGCCTTCGTATTGCCCTCTTCCCGTCCACCAAGCTGGACCCAGTTCAGGCATTTTGCGTGTGATTGTCATAGATGCACTTTCTCTGAGAGACTGGCACTCGGCATGCAAAAAAATTGGCACGTGAACAGCACACCAATTTATTCCAGAAATGACCCCGCCTAACTTTGGTTGATGATGATTTGGACTTTTTCCTAAATCCCAATTCGCAGTAGAAATCAACAGCGATCCTCTTACACTATATTTGTTGTTGCTTTTGCCTTAGCTGGTCTGGCATCACTACCAAATACTGGCTTTGCCCTGCTCAACTGAGCGAGCGCAAAATTTGCCTATTGCACAATGTGCGTGTATGTGTCACCCGAGTTGTGCGCAATGTGGACAGGAATGCAAGGCTTGCACATTGACAAGTGTTTTCAAGAGTCTGCCACTAGTCGCTAGAGCCTGGCCTTGACAAACATGGCCAGGTGGCTTGCAAATGATTTGTTGCGCACTGTTGCGCCGCACCCTGGGCAAACATGTTGGTTGAGCTTCAGGCGCAGAAGCGTCCTGTGAATGTGAGCTACCTGTGGGAGAGCACCCGTGAAAATCTTCAGCACTGGCGAGTAGATTGGCCGGTAGACATGCAATCTGGGACTTCTCACATGTTCTTTATTTAACATTATATTGGACACTGAGAAAAAAAGGAACATACACAATTCCAATGTGAGCCGACTGACGTCAAACTTTCACCCAACAGGGTAAAGCACATGTAAACACAACATATATCTTCCAATTCATCTCAAACACTAGGTTTGGAGAAATCCAAGAGTTCCGTTGCGATTCTCGAAAAGGCAGGGCTTTTCGGGGAAATTGCTTCTCCTAGAATTTATGCAAAAGCTAAGAAATAGGCTGGGCTTCATCAGTTCCCCGTATCGTTCCTGCGCAGTGGAAACAGCGATTTGCTCAGTCCTGCCGCTCTTGCCTTAATTAGCTGCCCTGTCACCATTGCTCGACTGAGCGGGTCCAGCAAATCCCTTTCAAACAATGCTTTGCCAGGAACAAACAGCACAGAAATGGTAGTAGACTCGTTGTTTCTTCTTGGAGGATGGACAAGCTTTCTTTGGCTTCTGGTGCAAAGTTTCCAGTTCTGAACTTGGCTTGCTTGGATCGTTCCTCCCCGCAAGCAGTGAAGGAAATTGCGTTTCGCGCATTTTCGAAAGGCTGCTTGCGCGCAGCTGACATACGAGTTCCGTGTCCAGCAATAGAGACAAAGATAGTTTCGGTTGTCTTGCACATGCCACCGTCAAGCATGGCCGAGTGCTTTGCATATCATTCCCAGACAACAGTCGTTCTTCCTTGCAAGTCGATTCTGGCTGCACCTGCTTGGGGATCTAACAATGATATTTTCTTGCGATTGTCTTTCTCAGCATCGTCCTTGCAACTATCAACATGATTATCTGGCCTCTAAATGGCAGCATTCAGAAATTTCGAATCATATAAACCGGTTTGTTGCAACGTCTGGATAAGAGTGTTTCGGAAAGGTTCCGCAGAGTTTTGGAACAGTTTGAGGCATCCCTGCACCCAGTACTTCACCAGCGAGCCTGTGTACAAAGCGAATGCCTGAAGGTTTGCTCGTTTCTTGGCTTTCATCAAGGTTGATCGCCGCAAAGAGAAAGAGTGGAACCAGCCAACAGAGGGCTTGCTGCCTGACACTTCTGCAAAAGGTTGCACTGACAGGTTCGGATCGAATGCTGACGAAGGATTCTGCAACGTAAGTAGAAAGGAGGTCTGGCCACAACAGCCGAACGAGCAACATTATTCAGGTCATTTCAGGTAGTGCCTGTGTGCGGCGACATAAACCAAAGTCCAATGATAGGAACATCTGTCAGTCTGTCAGGCCGATAAGCTTCGTTTGCCTGCAACAGTGTCGGCCCCATAGGCACTTCAGCGAAGTGAGCGTCAACATCCATATCTTTGCCCAGAAACAGCAACAAGAAGTGTGATTTTCTTGGATTCATAGAAGTGCCATGGGCACATAATTCTCAAGTTTCTGTCTTCCCTCTGCATGATCACCACACTGTTAGAACACATGTCAATGTGACGTCAGCATAATAATTGTGGATCTTGTCCATAACACGTGTCGTAGCTCCAAGGGCCTGATGGAATCCCTCATGTAATGTTGGCGTCACGTTGCCAAGGCTGGCTGCTCCATTCAATCAGTGTGACAAAGGTCGAGCAAACCATATCTGCCAACAACTTGTATCATTGTATCAGCCACAAATTCTCTGTGTGGTCCAGTCCACATAAATGGATACTAGGAGTCCACATGAATGGATGTCAGAAAGCAGTATGTCAGTATGTAGTAGTCCCAATTCCAAGCGAAACGTAACCCTGGATTCGTGAAACTGAATGATCTAAACGAGCGAGCCAACGATTTCTTTCAAGGCTGGCCCCAGGTTCAATGGACTTTCCGCACTACAACCTGACAAGACTTTTGCGTGGTTGTGTCCATAATTCTCCCAAACATCTGCATCAAAAGAGAAGCACAAGCAGCAAGCACCGGATGATTTTGTTTGTGCGACAAAGGCGCTTGCAGCAACCCGCTTTTTCAACAACCGTGCTCCTTCTGATAATGGGCATCCTTTCTTGCGAAGCTCATCGGGCATGACTTCTTGATAAATAGTGCTTCTTGATGCTTTTGATTCATGATGCACAAGGCTGGACAAACATTCTCTTCCAACGGATTAAAATCTTGTGTGAGTTTGCTCAAAGGGAGACGAAGAACTGTTAACATGGAGAACTCAAAACAAACAACGTGCAGGATTGGACAAGTATAAGTCCTTGTTCAGTGCTTTAAACAGGCAGCTCTTTGACAACTGCAGTTGCAACTTCTGCATGTGGCAAGGCCGGTCTTCTTGAGCCATCTCTCGAACGGAAACACGTGTGTCTGGCCTCGAGTTTCTGGCCCACATGGCGTGCATCTCTTCGCACCGAAAGCAGTTGGAACTGAGCGTCAGCGGATTGACGGATGCCTTGGACTCAACACTGCCTGACAGGCCTTGCCGTACAAGTGCCAAGTCATCATGCAAAGCATGTATGCTGCGTCATATTCCAGAGGCAAAGCGGTTGTATATCTGATGTTCTGTCTTCTTTGTGACTTTGCATCGGAAAGGATACATTTGCATGTCCATTTGCAACAAACACCTGCTTTGCTTAGTGTGGGGCTCAACAACGTAACGTGGTGGCTTGCAAAGCATGAAGCCCAACACAAGAGATCATGGGAGAGAAAATCCCAAGGCTATAGCAATCTGGACCGGTTGCAGGGATGATGAATATTTGATTTGATACTGGGGAATCAAATGCATGTGCTTTACAATCAGTGTGAGTCGGATCAACAAATGCAAGCTTTGTCCAGGGCAAGCTTTGTGGATAATCAATTTTAACAACGATGACTTACAGGTCTAGACTTCCCAAAACACCGGACAATGGGTGTGAACTTCCGTTGCCATGCTCTTCAATAGCCGGAGGATTCAACCTGACTGTAGGCCCTCCCCCGACTCACTTTTGATGTAGCTTTACTTCCAGTCTTTTGTAACCCGGGTGAATTTGTGAACGAATGCTTGCGCAGATGAAGTCCATAGTTATCTACAAATCATCCTTCATCGAAAAGAACCATGGTCAAACAAACGCAGGAGCAACACCCTGATCGCATTCCAAGGGAATCGCAACATAAATTCTGGCATTGATGTCATGTTCACTCAGCACATTGAATGAAATGCCTTGAAAAACACGGCTGCTTCTGCACCGCTTCCTTGGCGTGCAGTTCAGAGGCAACGGATTGCACACTTGAAGAAACACCTGTTCCCTGTGCATTTCAGGTCTCGAGGAACATAAAAGGCACCTGAACGCAAAACCAGTGCAGGAGTATCAATCTGTTCATCTGTCCTGTTCGACCTGCATTTGTTGTAAATGTAGTCTGCCAGGTGTACCATATGTTCAGTTTTTCTGCTTACCAACGAACGGTCCCACACATTAATCACCCTCTACGGCTTAAGCACTGGTCCAGCTGGTCCACGGAACGTTTTTCTTCTTGTTGGTTTCATTATCATAGTGCACGAATACTGCCTGTGCATATGCCGGCAATCTGCTTTCAATCAGCTGAAACCAGCAAAACATAGCCTTCCCACAAATGCGATACAGCAGCACGGACAACTTGGCCCCAAAATGGTGAAATTGAAGCGGTGGGTGCTGTAGTATGTGGAAGGTGTCGCATCAATCAACCGCATCCTTGGTCGCTGGGCTGTCAGCTTCAACAATGTTTGGGTTGCCGCATTTGTGGGTTCGTGGTGAGGACTAAAAGTGAAACCAACCAAAAGCATCCAAAAACAAAGAACTACCCCGGCCTAGACCCCGAATAGCATTGGAATCATTGCATTCAAACTGTCGTGGTTTCTTCGAGCACACAACTCAGCAGCGGCACCCTGCAGTGGCACCAGCGCCCAACCTCCCAAGCGCACAAAGCCCCCAAACGCACACCAGCGGCACCCTGCAGGGGCACCAGCGTCCAAGGGCACACAGCAGCGGCGGCGCCAGCACCCAAGCGCACACAGCAGCGGCAACCTGCAGCGGCGCCAGCGCCCAAGCGCACACAACAGCGGGGCCTTGCACCAGCACCAGCCATACCAGCACCCAGGCTCGAAAGCGCACACATGCAGTTCTCCCTATACTTGAAGTAAGACCTACACTAGTTCTTGCTCTCTGGGGAAAACATTGAAAAATGCAAGATGGAACCCACGAACCAAAATGCAAACGCTCAAACATCTTTGGACAGTCTTGTAGGAGACACTCTTGTAGAACGCTCTTGCGGGACACTCTCGCGCGACACTTTCGTCACTCTGCGGGGCACTCTTGCAGGACACTCTTTTGGACTCTCGTGCAACACTCTTGTGGGGCACTCTTGCGGGACACTCACGTACGCATATGTATTTTTGCCGCGCAAGTTATTGCTTCCCGGATTACATTTGCACTGCAAAGCTGCCAGTTCTTCAGCTCCCGGAAGCTGCTTGCTGCACTACATTTGTACTGCCAAGTGGCCAGTTCTGAGGCCACAGCTGTCTACCAAGTGGCCAGTTCTGAGGCCACAACTCCCACAACCTGCTTCCCGCACTACATGTGTTCTACAAGTTGTCAGTTCTGCGTGAGGCCACAGCTAACTAGAGTTGCTAGTTCTGAGGCGCGACGGACCAGAAGCCTCTTCCCGCACTACATGTGTACTACCAAGTATCAGCGACGCTAAGCAGTGGGTCAGATTGCAAGTGGTCTAGATCAGCTATGGTTTTTAATAAAAAATAGATAAATAACAAAAAAGAAATACATATAAAAAACTAAACAAATATAAAAAAAGAAATAAATATAAAAACTGAAATAAATACAAAAAATGAAACAAATATATAAAATGAAATAAAAAATGAAATAACCAATAAAAACAATACACAGAAAATACAAGAACATTACACAATCATTTTTGATGTGAGGGGAAGAGCAGCCCTGTTTGATTTGAGTTTTCTGGGGTGCCAGGGCCAAGTTCAAAGTGATGCATTCAAAGAAATTGTTTAACAATAATTGAATATAGCTGATCTAGACCACTTCCAATCTGATCCACCACTTAGCGTCGCTGATACATGGTGTCAAATGATGTCAGGCGTTTTCACTACTCACCTTTGTTGTCAGTTGTTTCCCCTCTGTCTCCTTGCCTTGCTGATGTATTTGCGGCTGGACTCCCGTGGCTATCTCACGCCTGGGGCCTTGGGAACACTGTTTGACGATTGTTTGATTCTTTTTGTGAGTTTGTTATAATTTGGCGTTAGCTGCAATCCATTGATCTAGGCATCCTCTGCTGAATTCTACTGGCCTTCTGAATGAGGAGCAGGTGGAATTGGCATGTGTTCGGGAGGGGCAGGGGGAATTGGCATGCCTTTGTGTGCTTCATGGGTTCAGTCAGATGTTGCCACTTGTTGTTAGATGTTTGACTTGAACTTTCCACAACTGATGACCCGCAGCGACTGATGTGTTCAAGACAATGACTGACAGTCATGAACATGTAAGACTAGTCACTTGTTAGTCACTTCAGTAATGAAGTCAGATGTTTTCAAAACGGGGTACTCAGTTAGTCACTTGAGTTTATCAGTCAGTAACGATCAAGACCTTCATTCATTCCATCAGTAGTCTTTGCATGGCCCACACTTCTGCCGCTGGTACTTCGTGGGGAGACTTGACTTGGCTTAGAGGTGAGGTCATTGAGTGATTGAATGGCAGTCCATCAGGCCATGTCAAGACCTGGATTGAGTGTAGCATTAGTTAGAGGTTACTAAATCTATGAAAAGTGCTTCTTGTAATTGTATATACGATTGACTTGAATCATGCGATCGTGTGTTTCCATTGATGGTTCTAAGGAAAGCTCAGCAGGCTGCTTGTACTGAGTTAGAAAAGTCTGAATGTTTGGCTGGGCGTTTGCATTGGACATGCAGGTATACTTTTTCATAACACCCAATTATATTGAAGTGGATCGAAGTGAGTCTGGGGCAGTATATCTTCTTTGGATCTTGGACAAAGAGAAGGCCAAGGAAATCTGGATTTTGTCTTGTCTTTGTTTGACTTGAGAGTATCCTCTGTTAGTCACATTGAGGTCACGTGAGGTGATACAGATGTGGTCAGCTCTGTCCATGGAGTGATTGAAGGGTCTGAGTTTGGTTTTCATCTAAGGGACTACGTGCATCAAAGAAACCAGCGAGGTGGATTCAGGAATTTGAGTGGCTGCGTGCTCAAGAGCACCAAGCGAGAGGTGGAGAAGCAGCTTGCAAAGCATTCAGAATTAAAATGTTACTTGCTCTTGGCTTTAGTCACTGAACCGATGGAGTAGTCTGAGACAATCTAGCTGGCTGACCTTTCTGCAGGGAAGTGTTGGCTGTCAGTCACCCACCATCGCATCCCAGGAATAACTTGGCTCTTGGCTTCCACCATGACACAGATTACAGCAAACGTCGTGGAGGCGGCGAGACAGGCAGTGCCTGGGCCAAATTTATTTGCAAGGCGCTGATGTCCATGTATAACTAAACTTAGAGAACAATGTTTGTTTGCTTCAGTCACATGGCCACAGCATCAACAATCACTCAAATAATGAACAAAAGATGATTGACTAATTTTCCTGTGTCTCCTGACAACGCCCAGGTAGAGAATGGTGATAAAGTCTGGGTTCCGCTCCAATCTGGGAGGTGGAGAGGATGGCCACTGCGGGTGGCCATCATTGGCCACCCGGAGGAATCTGAGGTGGATCACCACGAGATGTGGCCTTCAATGACCACTGTGTATCACGAGATGCTTGGGCACTTGAGTCTTAGCAGTAATGTTACATGTTTCATTCCCAGTCTGTAGTCAGCAGTGAAACTTCTTTGGCAATTGTTGTCAAGATTTGTCAGCTGTTTGTCAATCAATCTCAGGAGCACCAAGGGCAAAGGCAAGGGCAAGGGCAATGGCAAGAAGGGCCCCTACAATCCGAGAGACTCTGGATGGGTTCAGACCACCCAGCGAACAGCGCTGGCCTTACATGATCTTGTTTGTGATGTGTTTGATTCAACTCTCATTTCTTGTGCTTCATGTGCTTGTTGTGTAGTCTGAGTGCGGTTGATAGTCCACCAATCCAATGGTTGCTCCACTTCTAGGTGATGCGCCATCCTAACTTCATTGCAGTGCTCAACATGATCCTGTCCAAGCCAGCCTCGGTGATCAGGA